AGTTGATTCTTGAGTGCTCGGTCTGCTGTTGGCTTGTCATGTGTGTTCACCACATTTATTTTTAGCCTTTTATAGTGGGTGGAGAGAGCCCCGAAGAACATAGTATACAAATTCTATTGCCTTTAGTGGCTTACTGTTTTTTCTTCATCTTCATTGTTCCTTTCTGTTTTTTTGAGATTTATAGACCCTGGTCGTAAAGAAAGCACTTACCTGTGCGCATGTATTATGTGTGTGTGTATGCAAAGGGGAATGTTGATTGGAATGTATCGCCCTGGAGAGAGATACCAGTTTTTATTTTTTTTAAGAATGGTATCAAAGTGGTTTACTTTTTTATATTTATATTTTTCACTAACAGCTTCTCTGTAGTAATGCAGCTTTTGTTAGATGTGACATTTTTTCAGATCAAATGATTTCAGGTGGAATTTTAAAGTTAAAAATCTGTAGTGTATCTGTTAGCATAAAAGCAAAATATCCTTTGGTAAATTAAGTTGGAAAAATTGTTTCAGTTTGCCATTTTAAGAATTTAGTTGGGCCAAACGTTTTATACATATGTGTACACACATATACATATGCGCGAACTTGGGAAATTTCTTTTATAGGAAGGAAATTGAGGTTTAAAGGGGTCCAGTCCAACTCACGTAGCTAGTCATTGTCAAAGGGGAGATCTAAACAAGGGTCTGTCTATTTGTATGAGAACCGCCAATCATTCTATAGCGTTGTTCTTCAGAGCTCTCAAAAGTCTACAGTAAAGGGGTTGCTGTGCTCTTCCCATACAGCAGCTTAAGGCCAGGAGGTAGAAGATGGTGAGGATGGAGAACAGTTGCAAGTGATATCTGCTAGCATGCAAAAATAAGAACAGAAAATGGGCCAAGAAGAGGATCCCTTATAGCCAGGCAGAAATGTCTGTTAGAATATGCAGGAAAGAATCACAGCATCATAGGACTTGAGTGACTGTGAGCCCAGGGGAAGATTAGTAGCAGTGATTTTATCAGAAGTGAGTCATCTGACAGCTCTAATCAGAATCACCCCCTTTATTATAGCTGAGGTCATCCATGTGCTTTCTCTGATGTGCCTGTTTCAAGAAGAGATTGATTCCAGACAAGTGAAACATACCTGAAGATTCTGGCCTGAAACATTATAATTGACCTGACAAGAAAGTGAGCTTCAAATTTTTCAATTCGGTGGTGGTGGTGGTGGTAATGTTAGAAGTACTTAACATTAACATTGTTTTCATTCTACAGCATTACTTTCCAAACTAATTCCAAACCAGTTCCTAGAGGGGAAGGAAATTAAAAAACATGCCTCCAGGAATCCTGAGGCATCACCTGAAGTGATCTGGGAGTCATTTCTTTTTTTAAATCTCCTGCTTTCTCTTTAGGTAGAGCTTTTGTTAATTTCCGTATCTGTTTTAATTGAAAAATAAATGATTTTACTGGCTAAGTATCTCCTTACTCCCACCCTACATCTCCAAGTAGAATCGACAGTCTGGGAAGGTGGTGCTTGTTGTCCTGTGACTTGGCAGTCGGTCTCCAGCCTCCTTATGCGGAGCAGGCGCCCAGTATGAGCAGGTGCCCAGTGTGAGCAGGTGCCCAGTGTGAGTGGCACGGTCTCCCTGGATCTCTGCTGCTGCACAAGCTCCTCTAGAGGCTTGAAATGCCACATAAGGGCTGGCCACCTGCCTGCTGACTGTCCCACATATTCCAACTCCCTTCTTTCCTTGTTCCTCCTTGTGGAGTTCCTATTTATCACACTGTCATGGTTTCTTTCTTGCACTTGATTGGCTTGACTTTTTAAGGGCTTGGTCTCTTGATGTGTCCAACAGTTTTATTTTTGGATTTTCTTTTTTTGTCCTACCAAGGGAATGTAACCAAATATATCTATCTGATTCTAGCAGGTACATATATTTTCTTTGTGCTGCTGCTTAATTTTATTTACATCACAGTTGCTATATGTATAGGACCGGACAAATGGCAGACCTAGCCTGAATATCGTTTGTTGCTAGGCTCTTCTGGCACTGAGTCAGTGTGAAGGCCCAGTTCTGTGTGTGTGGAGCTGGGGCGGGGGAGAGCAAAGTGTCATTTCTGTCTCTTGGGTGGAAGGAAACCTCAGGCCAGCAGGTACGCAGACTAACTAGGTGGTAAGTGTGTGCCAGCTTTATGGCTCTTCTATATATTGTGTTTACTAGTTACACCTGGTTGATTTCCAGTTTTTGTTACAATCTTGACAAGAGTTCCATGCTTTTTGGTAATTTAACAGCAGTGAGGATTTCCTCTAAAGTATTTTTACATCTACATCTTCTATGACAAGGATCGTTGCTGATTTACTGATACTGAAGACTTGGTTCATGTTCAGCCCCCAAGTCTTTTGTTGAGGGTGTCATTTGTGTCCATCCTGCTTCCTCTTGAAATCCTGTTGTCCACCTTTAACTGGTCTAATCTTGCTTGACCCCGTGTTTCCCCACTGTCCCTCAGCAGAACCACCTTTTGTACCAAATGCAAATACATCCTATCCTTTGAATGACATCCACTACAAAAATTGCTTTTTGCATAGGTCTTGCAGATTTTAAAACCTTTTTTTTTTTTTGAAACTAAAGTGTCTTTGTATCTTCATAACTATTTTGTGAGATAGGTAGCATGAAGGTAGTTATTACCTATTTTATGAATGAAGAAGGAAGATATCAGTGAACATGACTTGCAGCCTTGTGGCAAAGCCAGGACTTGACCAAGTCTCTGGGGTTCCAATCCCTAGCAGTTTCTAGAAACATTTTATGAAAGACTTCTAATTTTCCCAGAATTGGGAGAATTTTATTATGTAGGTGAGTTGTCTACAAAGATAGCTTGAAAATTGGGATTTTTTTTTAAGTCTTAAATTCAAGGAAAAAAAGAATGGATTTTCTGAATTTCCAAATGTTGCTGGTTCCTATTTTAAACAAATTACAGATGTTTACTTCCTAAGAACAAAGCAGACTGAATCAGAGAAGATAGTGGCTAAGTTTTCATTTTTCTCTTTATTTTTAGGGGTAGTATTTTGCTCCTCCTTGTTGAAGTGTTTTGAGGTCATGGGTGAAATGATCCTACCTTATGGTTCTTAGTAGGAATTTTTGTGTCCCATGAGGATTCTTAAAAGTAGTAATGGACATCCTCTAGCCATTGTGTGGGTTTTTAAAACCCACAACAGAAATGATTTATTTTTATTGGCTGGAGTTTAATGACTCTGATTAGAAGCCCTGGTTGGCAGCAGATGGGCATGACCAATTAATTATTCTTGAAATTTTTGTTTGTAGACAAAGAGTCCACGAGGAGAGAAAACAATCAAGTGAATGGGTCTGGAAGGCTCCTCATACTTGGGAGTCTGAGGTTGTGCTGCAGTGATGGAGGATGTCCACCAGGTGGCATCAAGGAATTGCTTAACTGTTGGCGCCCCAGCTAACCTCGGAAGCCCATTTAAACTTCTACCCCCCTTGTGAACTATGGCTCAGCTGCATCTGTGCCCTCAGGTCTGGTCCCTCGCTTGCCTTAGTGCTGTCTTGTGCTCTGTTTCGGCATCTGACCACAGTCTGCCTCCCGTGAAAGCAGTGGGGGTTGACTCCTCCTCTAGCTGGGAAGCTTCCTGAGAACAGACACTAGGGCATTCACTGTAAAGCTTGCTCCTTTCTGTGTTTCCAGCAGTGCCAGTCATAGCCCCTCTGAGTTGCATTGTTGCATTAACCTCTGTTGGTGATCTGTGGGCTAATTGTGGACCTCCGTAGAGTTCACCTTCAGTGTTTTTTGCCTTGAAGAGAGTATGTTCTTTTTTCTAGCTGCGTAAATGACTTGTTGGAGGGCTGTAGGGTTTTGTGCTTATAGATTGTGTACTTTCATAAGCTTTACTCTCAAGTGAGCCCTTCACTAACTTGAGAGATAGTAGTTACAGAAATCAGCCCTGTAGATGGGGCTTCCCTGCAGGCCCACAGTTGGTCTTGGCAGTGGAACCTCCATGCGTGCCAGACAGCAGATAGCCATGGCATTCTTAGGCTGTGTGCCATGTAGGTAGAAGCTGGAGAAAAGCAGGAAAGAATCCCTGTAGCTCTCATCCCTCTGCCTTATCTGGGCTCCCAGCATGGCCTCCAGCGGCAGGCAGGTTTGAGCAGGAGCAAATGCCCACTCGGACCGAGGAAGGGCCCCGGAGGGGTAGCAGTACACATGCATATTGTAGTTGGATTGTATCATTTTATTGGAGACCATTAAGGAAATGGATGTTCAGTTTTCCTTTTTCGGAAAACAGATACGGCTTAAAAGCCAATTGGAAGGAAATTTGAAAAGGTTCCATAATAATGTTATTTCATTATTAGAGCTGACCTACACAGGCAAGCAAGTTGTGTGTAGGCTTGACCCTGGTTTCTCTGTTGTATGGATACCTTTCCAGAGTGTTTGGTTTGCGAACACATTCAGAAGTTCTGTGTTTGATAATAGACTCAAGAGTGTGCAAAACTTAAGCAGCATTTACATTTACTTAATTTAATTTCAAAAATGAGCCACGGTCTAGGCAAAACTGGAGCTAGTAATACCAAGGTAGTGTGTCTGGCTGCTTTTCTGAGAGCTATTTGTTTAGCTCCCTAGTGAGTTTGATAAACTAAGGCCATATTTTTATTTCTCGAGCTGGGAGTTAACCAAGCTGGCAGTTTTGACCTTTGAATGTTTAGAGCACCAGAAGTTCTGATTATGTGATGAAGAGAATATCACAGCTTTTCTTGCCTGTTAAAAACCCAGGGCATTCCTTTGCCCTTTGTCCTGCAAACAGAGCAGAGGATGTGACCTCTACTCTTTGGGGTGGCATTGTTTTAAAGAATGTGATCAGAATCTGCCTGTTAGATGTTCATCTTCTCTGTGAACCTTGAATTTAAATTCATTGGTGGGGTAACTTATAAATGCCTTTGCAGAAATGTGTTGAAAATATTTTCAGGAGAAACTTGGGAACTGCTGGCATCAATTAGCATTGCTAATGTGGCTGTTTGTTTTTAGGTGATCGGTGAGGACAACGTGGCTGTCCCCTCACACCTCTATAAGGTGATCCTGGCCCGCAGAAGCCCAGTGTCTACTGAACCTCTGGCACTAGGGGCCTTTGTGGTGCCCAATGACGCCATTGGCTTCCAACCGCAGTTAAGTGAATTCCAAGTGAGCCTTCAGGACCTGGAGAAGTTATCAGGACTGGTGTTTTTTCCTCATTTGGATAGAACTAGTGGTATCAGGAATATCTGCTCTGTGGACACCTGTAAGCTCCTGGATTTCCAGGAGTTCACTCTGTACCTGAGCACAAGAAAGATTGAGGGGGCCCGATCAGTACTCAGACTGGAAAAGGTCATGGAAAATTTGAAGAACGCAGGGATTGAACCAGATGATTACTTCATGAACCGCTATAAGAAGAAACTAGAAGAACTCAAAGCTAAGGAGCAGTCAGGAATCCTGGAGAGAAAGCCATCGTAGTTTTTTTTCTCAGAAGATGTGTGACAGCATCTCTAATGAAGCAGGTGTGTCCTCTTCAGGCTAATGTGTTCTAGTGGCTTTGCTTTAAAGAAATGATGAAATCCTAAACTTCAGACTAAATTTCTCCCCAAAAGGTGAAAGATCTAAAAAATTCTCAGTTTTTTATTTGACACGGGAACTCATTATTAAGGAAACTGTAAGACCTACAGATTGGATGCTGATCTTGTGTCAGGTTCACAGAGACTCTGACCACAAGATGACGCTGTTTTGTCTCTCTCTGGATGTTCGCGTGTGAAGGCATTTTGTTTTCTTGCCCTTGAATCATGCACTATCTTTGATGTATCTGCTCAGTTTTCTTGGAGCCCAGCGTTGTATGGGACCCGAGTTGGTCTTGGAGGTGGCTTTTAGATATCCTCTGTGTGCTGTCCTGTCCACATGTATTACTGTGTTACGTATTCGTTTCTTGCTCCTTCTCTGACAGGCCTGCTGACCCTGCATTTCTGTCCTATAGAAGCCCTCAGCAACATTTTCTGCTCACCTAGTGTGTTCTGTATACTAAGCTCAATACTTTACAAGTATTATCCTACAGCGACTCTCTGAGGTAAATACCACTGTCCTCATTTTACACGTTAGGAAATGAAGCCTTAGGGAGTTTAAGTATTTTGTCCAGGGTTCACCTTTCCGAAGAAGTAACCCACAGAGATAGGAGGCATGTGGGGCCGAGAAGAAAGACAGCATGACGTAGATTGAAATAATATGGGGGCTTTTGACTTAGAAATGTATACACATGGGTATTGGTGATTCTGGGCCCCGCTTGCTAAGAGGGGTCTGGTTTCTTGTCTGCCATCGAGCCAAAGGGTCTTGAGTATCCTCTGACTTGAACCCTCCTTGTGTCTTTGGGAAGAAACAATCGCAGGTGTTTGAAAGTTAGAGGGCATGCTTTGTGGGGTTTATCAGAGCCCTTACTTGACTCTAGGGATGCAGGTCTTTTAGTGACCAGATGGTGCCAAATTGCTATGTTCTTTGCTTTCCAGGTGAGCAGTTTGTTCCATAGGTTAAGGGACCTAAGAAGGGTCTGTGTCCATGGCTTTACCAGCTCATGATTTGCTTCCCTCTTGGGCCTGCTTGCCTACCTGGGTAGCACAGGGCAGGTGGTGCTTTGGGCCAAAGACTCAAAGACAATTCTCATTATCTCTGAGGGAAACAGCAGCTGTTTTTCTGAGCCAGATCTCTAGATTTGGGTTTACACGGAATTCTTTCAAGGGCTACCATTAAGTATAGGCAGCGAAATACCTTAAAATAGGGCCCAGGAGCTTGTCTAAACGTATCCTAGCTCTGCCGTCTTTCCAAGTGGTGTTGCAAGAACAGTTTTTGTGGTGTTTTGTGTGTTTGTCTCTAACAGAAATGCCAAGGCTTTAAAATAAAGGTAGGTTGATAATGATCGACCTTGTTCTGCTCCTTTATTTGGATAAAAAAGAAAGAAGTTGGGGAGTCAGAACACAGTAGCCTGATTAGTACCAGTCTGTTTTATCACACTGTTTGCCATTAGCTTATGCCAGTCCTTCTCTTCTCGGGGATAAAGAGCCAAAATGTCACTGTGACCAAAAAATCTGTTACTTTCTCTCATTGGAGAGGTGATGGTGGGGCCTCCTGGTGTGGTGTTTCTCCTAGAGCCTGGGGGGGGGCTCTGTGGGAGAAGTCCTGGGTGCTTGGCGTGCATCTCTAGAGGTGAGCCCCCATCTCCTTTCCCCCACATTTGGCTCCGTGTCCTGTTCTGGCCTGAATTTTCTTCAGCCTTGGACTTATTTCCCATGCTCTTCTCACTCCTGCCCCTCCACTTAGATGGTGGAGAATCTTGATTTTTAGATAATAAATTGAAGTGCCTTAGGTTTTTAGTATGAAAAGTGCTACCTGGTCATTGTGAGAAATAGAGATCCATGCTTATAATAAAAAATGCGGTCTCCCGGTCTTCATTTTCAAGTGGAGGAGTTGTGTTGGTCTACAGGAGTGATGCTTGACTTGTCTGAACACTTAAGAGTCCCGAGAACAAACTGAAATGTAAATACTCAGTACAGCTTAGAATTTTCCCCAGGATCAAATCACTTCAGCCTCCCCTGGTAGGATTGCTGATTATTTGGATTCAGATGCAGGAGATCCCCAGGCCACTCCCCAGCATGGGTCTGTCCCCTGATTGAATAAGCTCCTCTATACCCACCTGAGCCAGTTAGCCTCCAGTTGGTCCTTCCTTGGAGCCAGCCAAATTCTCAGGCCAAATTCTCTGCCTTCTGTCCAGTGATGCTCAGGGAGTATCTTGGCCAAGGGGAAGGCTGTAGCCATCTTCATGGGCTCTGCTGCCAGAAGCCCTATCTGTGGGTGAGGGTTAGTCTCTGATCTCCGCACCCCCAGTGACATCTTTATTTGAGACTCCAGGCTCTTGGTCTCTGGATTGAGAACATTTGACCAATGTCGTGTGTGGCAAAGGTAGGACAGGTGTCCCGGCCTGTTACTGCCGGCTAGCATTGCTGCCTTGCACCTTGACCTTCAAACAGCTGAAAACCTCTGCCCCTCTGTCAGGCCTCTGAAGCACCCAGAGGAGAGACATAGTGTGATCTTGAAGGAGCACCCCCTGCAGGGCGGGGCTCAGCCTGGAACAGCCCCACTCCCGGAAAGACCCTGCCTCATCCCTGTGAACACGTCATTGTCACTCAGATCAGCAGCCCATCGCTGAAGCTATCCCTGCCCAGTCCTTCACAGCTGCACCTGTGTGCCCTTATGTCTTCTGGGCACACTGCATCGTCCTCCTTCATTCTTCTGGAACTGGTCAGGAGGGTTGCTCACAGCTGCCGTGGCACTCTTGCTCCTGCCTGCCTCCATGCCCCACCTCATTCCGCCTGCCTTTCTAGATGTTGTTCATGGAGATTATCCATCAGGGGATCCAGGGCTACCTTTCCAGGCCAGCCTCTCCTCCAGGGACTGACCCTTAGGTCATTAGAGTGGGCCAGGTACATGAACCGAACTTCAGTGTGGACCCTGTGCAGTTCGGGGTGTGCAGTGGGGATGTGGTGGATGGACTTCCCTTTTAGTGTTCCTGGATATGCCATTATGGCCTAGGGGCTGGTCTGTCCCTGAGTGCAGAGTACCTCTAGGGGTCACTGTGGTCTAATGCCACACTGCAAGACTCAAGAGTCTGCTGGGACACTGTCCAATGCAGAATCTCCAGCTGTGTAAGCCGCAGAGGGTGCAGTCGGCTTCGGACCCCAGGCTCCAAGCTCTCAGGCCAGATGGAACAGCAGAGGCTGTCTTGTCCAGTGGGCCTCATGTTTGGCTCATCATTAAGCCTAGCTGGCTTAATTTTCCCCAACTTTATTTTGAAAAATGTCCTTACAGACAAGTTGAAGGGAGAATTAAGAATATCCTCTCCCCGCAATATTTTGTCCCATTTGTTTTCTCTTTTTCTTGAACCACCATTTAAAGGTAATTCGTTGGTTTAAAAAAAAAAGTTGTGGACATGACACTTTATTCTTTAATACTTTGGTCTGTATCACCTAAGAATAAAGGCATTCCCCTATATTTCCAGAATACTGTTATCACATCTAAGAAAATTATCAAGAATTCAGTATCATCTAATGAACAATGTCTCAAGGTTTGCCTAGACTTTCCCCCAAAATCTTACACTTTTTTTGAATACCCAAGTCTCAGCCAAGGTTTGTGCCTTGTATCTTGTCATGTCTGGTCTCTGTTAATCTAGAACAGTCTGCCTGGTAGGTTTCAAAAATACAGAGGTTCTCCAACCCCACCCTTGAAGATTTTGACTCAGTAGGTCAGATGCGAGGCTGAAATACATACTTTTTAAACAAGCAACACTGCTGATTCTGATGAGCCTCCAGGGTTTGGAGCTGGACGAAGCCCCACGTTGCTGCCACTCTCCACCAACACATATGTTCCCTAGATAGGAGTCCCCTGGAAAGGTGGGCTTTGAGCTTTCCTCTTGTATTGAGCTTCATAACACTAAGCCGCAACTTTCCCTGCAACTCACTCGTCATGACAGGCCTTAATGGCCATCCCAGGCTACACAGAGCTGGCTGGCATCTGCTTTCACCTGATAGTCCTTTAGAGATATAAAGCCCATAAAGACATCAGGGCATCTCACTTAATGCTCAGGCATTCATGGATTTCAGACCTGCCACCATCATGACGTTATGTGGCCTTGATGGTGTGGCAGCCACGTCTGGGCAAAGCCTCAGATGCAGTGATAGCAGTGCCAAATTGAATGCTCCCTTACTGGGGACACTCCACTATCTCACTGTACTGTTGGTCCGTGTGGAACTGGGTCTGACTGACTGCTCCAGGTCATTTTCACGTGGTCTACTATCAGGTCTCTTTCCCATCATGCACTCAGTCAATATTTGGAACACAAATGTGGGGTTATGTGTATGCCCTACTGTTAAGATTTCATTTTATTATAGTTTCTACCCATCTTACGTGAGTTCACATTCTTGATGATCCTGATTTGGCCATCTGACATGTTAGCTCTGCCCCCCGGCTTCGAGATTGCAAGATAAGATAAACAAGGCTTCATTCAACATGTCTATTAAAAACATTGAATGAGACAGAGCCATGAAAGAGCCCTTTGGTAAAAAATTCATTTTATATGGCAACCTGCTTCACACACTCACCCAAGATTCATGTGATAATAATGTGCTCTGATATTTTCTAAGTTCAATTCTTTTCTAGTTCTTTTTAAAAAAGGAAACAACACTGAATTGATTGCACAATGCAAAAGTAAGTCTGTCACAATTTGCTTGAGAGTCAACTCTGGGATAGTAAGAGTGCCTACTGTACCTCTGGGTGTGCACAGCATGGCTGGGCCAGCACTTTGGACACCCTCCCTATGTACGGAGGCGCGCTTGGGTCCCCATCCCATCTTCCTACCAACTGGGCAGCCTCCTGCAACTGACCTCATTCGTCCTTCTAAATCAGGTTCCTCATCTGGGAACAGGTTGAGGATGACTGGCAGGATCCTTTGAGGATTGAATAAGCTAACAAGTACCTGAGCAAGCCCTCAATAAATGGTAGCCAGTTACTATGAATTCCTGTTATCAGCGACTACCAAAGACAATGTTTGTGTCGCCCCAAAACTCATACCTTGAAATCTAACCCCCTCCCAAAGGTATTAGGAGGTGGAGCCTTTGGTAGGGGGATAGCTCTGCCCTGATGAATGGGATTAGTGCCCTTATAAAAGAGACCCCAGAGAGCTCCTTTGCCCCTCTGTCATTTGAGGACACTGCAGAATGGCCCAACCAGAAAGTGGCTCTCATCAGACACTGAATCTGCCAGCACCTTGATCTTGGACTCCCCAGCTTCTAGAACTGTGAGAAATTTCTTTTGTTTATAAGCCCCCCAGTCTGTGGTATTTTTTTTTTTTTTAAGATTTTATTTACTTATTTGACAGAGGGAGACACAGCGAGAGAGGGAACACAAGCAGGGGGAGTGGGAGAGGGAGACGCAGGCTCCCCACTGAACAGGGAGCCCGATGCGGTCCTCGATTCCAGGACCCTGGGATCATGACCTGAGCCAAGGGCAGATGCTTAACCATTGAGCCACCCAGGCGCCCCCAGTCTGTGGTATTTTGTTACAGCAGCCTGAACTGACCAAGACAGTGAATGATGAAGGTCATTGTGTCCTGAGAGGGTGAAGGACAGAGCCTGATATTAATGGGCCAGGTGGAAGCAATTCTGTCTCTCTTATTCAGTCCACCATTTGCATAGCTGCTCTTCATCCCATTTCACAAGTGAGGAAACAAGCTCCAGGAATGTATGACTTAGGAAGGTTTTCTGGCTCTCAATCTAACGTTTGCCCTCCACCCCCCCCCCACCCCCAACAAGGCTGTTGGAGTTATTTTAATTTGCTTTGTAATTCAGTAGTTCATGCTTAGCCTTCTAGGTCCATGCTGACTTCCTAGAAGCAGACAAACAATGGAGTTGACTCCTTTCTGGGGCCTCCAGAGGGTTCTGGAAATAGTACATGCTCAAAAAATGTTTTGGAGTTTAGGGCGCCGGGGTGGCTCAGTCGTTAAGCATCTGCCTTTGGCTCAGGTCATGATCTCAGGGTCCTGGGATCGAGTCCCACATCGGGCTCCCTGCTCAGTGGGGAGTCTGCTTCTCCCTCTCCCTCTGTTCCTCCCCCTGCTTGTGCTCTCTCTCTCTAATAAATAAATAAAAAATCTTTAAAAAAATATTTTGGAGTTAGCAACAAGTCAGAAAAGTTGAGATGATCCTGCTCGAGTCCCAATGTGCACATTGTCTCTGGGAGGGCCCCGGGAAAGGTAGGCACTAGGGCACGGCTGGTGGCTGAATCGGTCCCCCAGCAGGGACCAGTGAGGCCAGATGAGGACAGTGAGGACAGCGGTGGGGAAGGTGGCTCCAAGGAGGCAGGAAGGCAC